TAGCTGCATCCCTCCCCTCTTTGCCTCTGTCATCACATGGTTTATTCCCTGCCTGTTTCCATCTTTCTTTTAAGGACTCCAGTGATTGGGCTTAGGGTCCCCCACCCCCCATGCAATATGACCTTATCATGACTACATCTGTGAAGTCCCTATTTCCAAATACCGTCACATTTACAGGATCTGGGGGTTAGGACTTCAGGACATTATCTTTTCGGGAGGGGAGGGACACATTTTGACCCAAAATGTTGGGGTCAGATGGGAAATCTATGGCTTCAGGATGCTGTGTGCCTGTGTTGGGGCCAGGATCCCAACATGCCCATTGGCCTCCTGGACCTCGCACGCCCTACGCACAGAGCCAGGCTAGCTGGGGTGACAGCAGAGGGCTGGGAGGGAGGGGCCAGGCTCCTCCTCTGCGGGGGAGGGGAGACCTCCCAAGTGCAGTCCAGGTGGACCACCCAGGACGCGTGGGCAAGGCAAGGGGGCATTTTTCATGGCTGCTATGACCACACATCTCTCCCTGCAGCATGGTTTAAATCACCTGGACAGGAAAACCTCAAACTTAGAGTCTGGGCTGAAGATGCTTTGTTTTTCTTGCTAATCAATTCTCTTGCTTTTGGCTAGTGGTTAGAAAGGTTTCAACACTTGACAGCTGAAAAGCTTGTTAGAAGCTCCTGGAAGACATCTTGGAAATACTCTATAGAAACGGAGCAAGTTAAATGAGAAATAATTACCTAGCGGTAGGATTCATGACCGCACATTCTCAACGCTTGCCCAAAGAGAGCGTAGGGAAAATGTGTTAAGTGTTATTGTATTGTAGGAACTGTGAGGCCCAGGAAGGGTCATAATAAATAGTACCTAGGACTGTGGTCCCACACGGCTCTGCCTTGCCGTTTCCTGGGAGAGCTGGGGAGTGCTTGGATGTCCATCTTGACCTGGGGATCTGCCCGGAGCAGTTCTTGGCTAAGAGTTTAGTGCTTGCGGGAACCAGATAGGAGCCTGTCTCGTCGAGCAGACTGATAGAAGCTGGTTCTGTCCCATCTTTCTGGCACGTCAGAAGGAGTTCATCTGAGCTAACATGTATCCTTCTGGTGATGCTTGAAAGGCATTTGGTTTTCCCCCGGGTTCTCATGAAGCATGGCCTCCAACATTTAAGCAAGCCGTGCTTCTGAGGCCAAGCAAAAAACACTGTCAAGTGTTGACGTCTCCAGGCTTCACTTAGGAAGCAATTCTACTTTGGTTATTTTAACAATGGCTTCAGTTACTAGGAACCGGGGTGCCCGGGTAGATAGACCCCTTGGGCTATCTGCTGACACTACCCTTCACCTTTTGGGCCTCTGCCCCAGGGCTGGCCACACAGACTCTTTTTCTTGGGCCAGACTGAGGTCTCTTAAATGTGACTCAGACTGGAGATTGGGCCCAGCCAGAGGAGATAATTGTTTCTAGTCTGGTTTCTCCTCGGGAGGAGGAAGTTCCCCTTCGAACTTCGCTGAGACGTCACCCGTTATGAATTTCCCTTCAGCTGCTCCCTCCTGTTCCCCAGGTTTTGAGCACTGGACCTTCGCATTCTGCACGTCCCCGCTCCCAGTTTCCTTGAGTCCAGAATCCTAGCACCCACCTCTCTCCTGAGGGCCAGGTCTAAGGTCCCCGTGTCTGCCGGGGATCGATCATCACCTCGAATGCAACGTTTCTTACAGTCACTGTTGGTTCTGCGGCTCCCTTAGAAACGACCTGGCTCTCTCTGCCTGACTTACTTCACTTAGTATGATAATCTCTAGGTCCTATATTCACTATCGTGTAATAAACTATAATGGAAAAGAACACGAAAAAGAATATATATAGGTATGTATAACTGAATCACCGTGCTGTACGCCTGAAACTAACACAACACTGTAAATCAACTATACTTCAATTAAAAAACTTTAAGTTAAAAAAAAACAAAAAACAAAACCCTTAACGACCTGGCCCGTGACGAGTGAGGCTTCAGTCACTCAAGCTTAAGTTAGATCTCATGGGCAATCAGCTGTTTGGCCTTGCAGGGTTCTTCTCCCTCCTAAATTCTCACTGTCTTCTTTTCCTGTCTCACCGCCAGGCTGGCTCACAGGCCTGTCACTGCTTAGCTGCAAGAGCTTCCCTCCTGACCGCTCTCTGGCTCGCGGCGACTCAAAATTCTTACGGCAGCTTGATTGGTGCTCTTAACTTCGCAACTCTGTGCTCCTGTCGCTTTCCTGCTAAGAAACCTCCCAGGGCGCCCCTCTTCTCCATCACGTGAAGCACCCATTCCTCCTCCTGGAATGAAGGCTCTTTTCAAAACGGGCCTTTTGTCGGGGAGGCATGGCATTCCCTTCGCGTGTTGTGTTTCAGGCACGATGACTATCATCATCCTTTTTCAACCTCTGGGCCTTCCCTCTTTTTTTTCTTCCCGCCACACTGCGCCGCATGTGGGATCTTAGTTCCCCGACCAGGGATCGAACCTGTGCCCCCTGCAGTGGAAGCATGGAGTTTTAACCACTGGACCGCCCGCCAGGGAAGTCCCTGGGCCTTTCCTGATAATCCATTCTTTGCAATGCCCAAGCTCTCATCCTCATCTCCATCTGTTTCATCACCAAGCTTCAAGGCTTATCTCAGTTGCCTCCCCACCTTGCTGAAACCTCATCACACTTCTGAGGCCTCACCTGTGGTATATGCACAGAAAGGTACTTGTATTTGAACTTGTGACTTGCACGCTACTCGAGTCCCTGGGCCCAGTAGATGCCTGGTGTATCACACTGAGTGTGGGCAAAGGCTGACTCCATGCTCCCTGGCCCCACGTCCCAGCCACTTCTGGCCCATCACAGCCTTGCTTTCTCTCCTCCTTTTAAAAAATTTTTATTTATTTATTTTTTGGCTGCATTGGGTCTTTGTTCCTGCGTGCGGGCTTTCTCTAGTTGCGGTGAGCAGGGGCTACTCTTTGTTGAGATGCACGGGCTTCTCGTTGCGGTGGCTTCTCTTGTTGCAGAGCACGGGCTCTAGGCTCGTGGGCTTCAGTAGCTGCGGTGCATGGGCTCAGTAGTTGTGGCGCACGGGCTCAGTTGCTCTGCGGCGTGTGGGATCCTCCCGGACCAGGGCTCGAACCCTTGTCCCCTGCATTGGCAGGCGGATTCTTAACCACTGCGTCACCAGGGAAGTCCTCTCCTCTTTTTAATCAGACACAGGCAATAAATTTGACACAGAAGGAACTGCCCTCCTCCCCCAACCCTCACTAATTTTATGTTTTGTTGGAGGCAAAAGCAAATTTCCAAGATTCAAGTCAATACCAATTTCGAATTATTTCTGCCAGTTGGAAAAGAAAACTTTGAAAAATACATGTGACTTTTTTTTTTCAACTTGGGAAAAAATTTGAAAGCTATAGCCTTTCAAGGAAACAGGATACTTTAAAGAAAAAAAACAAAAAAACACCAGCCTGGCTTTATGTAGTTCAATCCTGTCAAGCTAATCTAATCTTTTGTGACAAAGCAACAGACCTGGTAGATCAAGGGGGAAAACAATAGTTGGAATTTATCTTTGCTGCCTTCAAAACTTTTGATTCCTGGGCCCCAAGATGAGAGAGAGCCAGTTCTAGCTGGGGAACAGAAGTGGCCTCTTTAGGGGGTCAGCCTTGAGCCCAGTGGTCCTGAACATCGCCTAAAAGGGCCAACTGACAGAAAAAGGGAACATATTCGAAGTCAGCATTAATCTCAAGGTGGGGTCGGGGGTCTCGATGAATAATCAGCAAGAAAAGGAACACTGGTAATTACTTAAATGATCAACACAAGTGTGCAGTCTTGACTAGAAGAGAGTTCATGTTTGGGGAAAACTACATCATCAATACAGCTTTAGGCTAAGAACAGGAGACTGGTATGAAGCTACATAACACGTAGGAATCCTGCAGTCCTAAATTTGCATTAACTGGGTCCCCTTCCAAACTCCACGGCTAAAGATGGGAAAGAGAATTTGGACAACATTCAAGGGAGAGCCACAGAGGTAATTCAACTAAGGCTGGGACATGGGAATTGAAGACTTCTACCAAAAAGTTAAATGAATTTGGTTTATTGAATTTAGAGATGGACAACCTTATAAGGGCAGTAACAAACAAGAATAGAAATAGGTTTAAGTTATAACACATGAGAATAAAATTAAATGTAAAGACGACTTTCCTTAGTCTTAAGATTGTTAAGTGGGTTGTTAAAGTAGAACGGATCTCTGTAGGATGGTTGGAGGGTGCTAGGGGTTTACTGATGGGCAGACCCAGAGAACCCCTGAAAATAAGTCTCCACCCCACATTGTTATGAGGTTACTTCAAAGTACAGTTGACCCTTGAACAACACAGGTTTGAAATGCACAGGTCCACGTGTACATGAATTTTTTTCAGTAGTGAATACTGCAGTACTACACAATCCAAGGTTGGTTGAATCAGCTGATGGGGAATTGCGGTTAAGGAGGAACCGCGGATACGGAGGGCTGACTATAAGTTACACACGGATTTTTGACTACACGGAAGTCGGGGCTCTAACCCCTGTGTTGTTCAAGGGTCAACTGTTCTTAAAATCCAAAATGGAAAATAAGAGGCGGCCAGTGCCTCAGGTGTTATAATGGCTTCAGGTTTAGTTGTCATTTATAAAAAGAAATTCAAACACAGAATGAAGCTGCTCATTAAGACCAGTGTTGGGGACACTAGCAGTGAGCCAGCACTATCCTGTATGTGGATACAGTGCAGATTTGAGCTGTGGTGCAGCCAGACAGCACACAGGTATTGGGATTCTTTCTATCCTCTCACTTTCACTATCAACAAGCTCCTGATAAAGTCTCTGATCTAAGAAGATGGTAACATTGGAAATTTGAGTGTAGGGCAACCAAAGCTATCAATGTCTGTTCCTGAGCACTATCCCGTTCAAACATTTCTCTTTGAGGTGTGATATGGCAAGGAGAAAAAAAAGAACACAATGTCCCTGCAACAATGCTGGTAACTAATAATCACACAGTCATTTGTAGGTAAGTTTTCTTTAAAGTTAATCAGTCTTTTATAAAATTTCCCAATTAATTAGTAAAAGATGGCTTATTTTAACAGCCTAAAACATTGGTCACTATTTAAACAGGACATTCTAAAAAAAAAAAGCAATCACATAATAGTTTATAGTAATTTACAAGTGGATGGTATACATTTAGATACAGAGGTAGAAGTTCACTTTTACAACGTTTCACTAATACACATTTACCAAATTCAAGGCACAAAATAGTTTGCTTTACAAAAAAATACTGTAAAAATGTCATTTGCTGTTCTACAATGTGAATAAAACTTTCAAAAGAATCTTTACACCCTTCCATATGTACTCCACAGTATAAGATTTTTTCCCCCTTGCTAATCATAGTTGGCACAAAAATGGGGACGTTTTTAAATGCAGAAGTTCCCATTTTTAGAAACTGTTTCTTTGCAGAGCTGCTATGTATTCTAGATCAAAGTCCATCCAAAGAAATGAAACACAGCAACTTCCTGAGGAAAGGGCACTTTCTGTATGCAGCAAAATTCATAGGTAGAAAATGTATGATCTTTTTTTGGATCAATAGGTCTCCAGGGGAATAGATACTCAAGTAAAGATCTCAGAGACTCATTTTAAAATTCGACCAACACTGTAGTCGTTATGACTTTAACAAAGAGACCTGATCACCTTTACTGTAACAATCAGACATCATCATCTACTTCCAATTGACAGAGATTTCAAAATGCCATTTTCAAAGAGCTGTACATACAAACACAATGAAAGAGCCACACAGGCTTTGCAAAACTGAAACTTCGAAAACAGGAGAAAATATAGCACTATCAGTCCTTGAAGGTGCAAGGGTGTCGATTGGCTAGAGGTTAATTACAAGAATTAATAAACTCTATGGGAATTAAGAAAAACCACACACATGAAACACACTGTCGTTATCATCTCGAGACTCCCTGCTCATTCAGAAAAAATAATGGTAGCCTGGAGACATCACACAGCGCTTGTCTAAAAGATAAAACTGGTTTTAGGGTTCTGCCGGAAAAGGACCCCACTGGCAACAGCTTAAGCTCATTTACGCTGATCACATTTTCCAAGCACTCTAGTCGGTTAATTTACACTTTATTTTTTTAAAAAGTTGATTTGAAAAAAAAAAAGAAAAAAGTCAATGCGGATTTAGAATCCAGAGAGTATCAGTCATGCTGATGTGGGTCGGAATGAGATATCTTGATCGTCTTCTGGTAGAAGTGATATTCCATACAAAAAAGATCCTTAGATTCCGTTTTTTGCTTCGTTATTGTTTGTGGCTTGTTTTCTCTGAGCGATAAAGGGGTACATACACTTGTCCGCTCCTAGGAACCGATACATACACACAACTGCTTCGAAAGGGAGGATGCTGAAAAGGAAAAGTCACAGTGAGCCACCGTGAGGCGTGGTGCGTTCCTTACGTTACGGGGCGGACAGGGGAAGACCTGCCGAGGAGGGAGCCCCCTCACACTTACCTCTTCATGAAAGTCACGATGTACATGAGGCGGGGGGTGCAGATCATGGGCTGGTCCGTGAGGATGGCCTTCATAGCCTGCTTCACGCAGTAATCGGGCTTCAGAGGGGGCAGGAAAGGCTCAATTTCTTTCCTGAGAGTTACAAATTCAAAAGACGAAATTAAGAATGAACACAAAATAGGGAAGACTGGAAATACACATCAAAACACGAAGGATGACGTTATCTGAGCAACAGGATTTGGAATTCGTTTTGTTTACTTCGTTGTGCTTTTTCTGTATTTTCTAAATTTTCCTACTATGCACACATTTTATTTGCATAGTCTGGAAAACAAGTTAAAAAAAAAGCAGAATTGGTCTGCTTTTCTGTAAAGTGAGAAAGTCGTGTTTTCAACATGCCTTGAAACGTATTTCAAATTACTTTTTTTTTTCTTTCAATTGAAAAAGGAGAGGGTGTCTGGCATAACAGACACTAAACCCAAACAAGATGCCAAACTTTTAAGTATTAAGTGTAGTTCCAATGATGGTGTGTAAACACCAACATAACCTTTCTGAGTGAAACGTAAGTCAGCTGTGTGCTTTCCCGGGTGCCTGGAGAGGGAAAGCCGTGGCATTCTCTCCGGGGGTCTCTGAAATGAAGCGCACAGAGACACCCTACCTTCAGCTGAATTCATCCAGGCACCCACTGAAATAACTTAATACAATTTATTCTTTTGACTTTTCACCATCCCCCCCCCCCCCCCCCCCCCGCAGCGCTGGACACCTGCTGTGATGCTAAACAGGATGCTAAACAGTTTAAGCCCCTCAGACCTGCAGCGTCCATCTGTCCATAAGAGGCAAAAAGCAAAGCAACACACACCCCGCCCACACGCGGGAAGAGAGGCAGGGCTGAGTCCGTTCCTGGTCCAGACTTGGAGTCAGCCTGAGATGGAAATGACTCAAATCCCCTCCACCTGCTCAGAGCGTGGCCAGGCTCAGGACGTGTCCAGGTCGGCCCTGACCCATGGGGAACTCGTTTGGTTCTCTCGCTTTGCCTGTCAGATTCGTCCAAGCAGAGCTCTCACAGTCAGCATGTCTTTACAAGTGTCCTCTTGATGAGTCACGGCTTTGTTTACTCCGCTTAGCTCAAGTCAGATGTGACTTGACATGGCTATTCCCACACGCCTCCTCCCTCCAAAGTGTGGTGGTATTTCATTTCATGTTTAGAAAGTCTCAACGTTTCTTCTCATTCTGTCAGAGTGAATCTAGCTACATACACTCTCTGCAAAAAGGAAGTTCCCAAACCTGGGGTGTCTCACTCAAGGGTCTTTCTGGAAGAAGGACCACCCTCTTCTATGGCAGTGACGTTGTTTCGTATCCAAACCAAAGTCGCATTTATGTACTAACGTTAATATTAAAGAAAGAAAATCACTCCTAAAGAAGTAGCTTCTAAGGAAAATCCTGAGTATTTGCTCCTTGAAGATGCAGAGAAGCCGTTTCCTACTGATGCTCGTAGGCTACCTTCTGTGAGCTAATACCAGTCCTTGCTTATCAATCGTGCACGCCTCAACTTTACAGACCTTGACCAACGAAAGCTACAAGTGAGCTGCCAAACGACAGATACTGAAGTGCGAGGCGGGTTACGGCTGGAGATCTGACTGATTCCACATATTCTCCCAAGATGGAAAGAGGATTTGTTAGAACCGCTTCTTGTCAGTATCAAGGTGGGTCCTTACTGACCTGATTCGGCAGCCCCTGAACATGCCAGTGTCTACAAGGTAAGGGCAAACCAGCGTGGTTTTAATTCCATCCTTCTCCGCAGCCTTTAACTCATGGCTCAGGGATTCATGAAAACCCACGACTCCAAATTTACTGGCGCAGTAATCCTGAGGCAGAGGGGAAAGAGCAGAAATCCTCAGTACGTGTCCACATCCCTGACCCATCCCAAGCTGCCCTGGTCCCGTTACTCCGGTTACATGTTTGATATAAAAGGTTACAGGTGACTAAGCAAAGAAAAGGAGAGCATTTTAAAAGACAGATATCTGATGTGGTTTGGTGCAGAAATAATATTTTCAAAGTAACAGCAGAAACAGATGAACACTTTCTGCCACATCAACGGAGTATCAGGTTACTTTGGGGAAGTTACCACAAAGGACTCTATGAAAGCGAACGAGCTGGAGTTAAAAATGGAGAGAGGCTCGCTTTGAAGTGTCTGGAAAATTTACAAATGGTCTCTTGTTCAGTAAAGGAGACTGAAAAACCAGTTTGTTTAAATTAATGCTAGGAGAACAAAGGCGAGTTTAGCTGGGGTTATAAGCTGTTATGATCCCATTTTCTTTTTAGGGCCAAGTGAAAATGGAAATGATAACTCTACCTTGTAAAGTTAAACTAGAACTTAACCTAAGGACTCACGGTATAGGAAGAAAGTTCTTCTCCATTACCCAACTTTAAAATTAGGAGTTGAAATGTAGAATGTAGAAGCTGTCTCTTCTGCATCCTTTTGCATATTTGCATGGGATGATGTTTTCAGTTTTCCACTACAGGCGCCCATGGGATGAACAGCACACAGAGCAATATACGTATACACGCTTTGTAACTTGAATTTGGTGAAGAACAGGGTCTGATTAAGCCCAGTTCTACAGACTTAGGATGCAGACACCTGGCATCAGCCCTAAGCATCTCATCTGATGAGCTAACACAAGACAGCTCGCTTTTGGCAAGTGGACCAAAACAGAATGTCAACCTTTGGCCTCATTTATCTGTTCCCTGTGGCACTGCCACTGCCCTCCGGTTTCATCCTGACCCTGCACCTTCCCACTATTGTCAAGCACAACTGCTAATGAAAATGGGGCCATACTGAGGACGGGCCCACCCACTTCTGCTGCTGCTGCTGCTTTGTCAAACTAGTAGAAGTGACTTTATGGCAGAAGACGTCGAGCCACGTGGGTTGCTGGGGAGCATTCCACAAGCAGCACACAGGTAGCGTGCTTCCATGGCCTTTCAGGAACATGCGGGCAGCAGGTACCCTTCCTAGGACTTTGGTGTATTCTTCTCGAGATGAACCGACTGAAAGAAGGACATGCTTTATAATGACAAACCTCAACTCCAGCAGTACTGAACAATCCCAGGGAACTTGCAACGGTCACAATATGACCATGATTAATCTCCAGCATGGTAGGAAGAAAAGCCTTAGTGGTCTGAAAGAAAAGGAAGATTCAAGCTTTAGAACTGACGTTATGGGTTTCACCTAAAAAACAACAGCAACGAAAAACAAACAGAAACCCCACAAACCCAAGATCACGAAACAAAGTTTTACCCACACGTTACATTTCCCAATCTGTTTGAAAATATTTTACATTTATCAAAAAGAGAAGATCCTTTAGGCGTCTGGTTCACTTAGCACCGTATCATCGGCATGGCAGGCCTGTTATAAGCCGTGACCAACAAGACTGTAACACAAGAGCTTTCGGGGACAATGTCCAGAGATGAAAAGAAAGCCATTAGGAGAAGGCTCTTTATCACCTTTCAAGTGATAGTTATCTGCTAATCTAAACTACTCCCAGGTCAGAGATCTTTTCATGCTCTGACACTTCAGTGCAGCCTCTCCTGGTCTGTGAGGGACCTCCCGCTTACCCGCGAATAGAAGCCTCGTGTACTGTTTACCTCATGGCTGTGTCTACACAGCAACAGACCCATGAATGAAGAGATATTCCAGAAGCATCTTCCAGCATCCAAGCTGTATTATCCAAGTATGCTCACAGGAGGTAAAGTATTTTAGGTGTAAAAAAAGGAGGGTAAAGTACAGAATCATTTTAAGGAAAAATGTGTCCTAACACTAACTCTGCTGTGACAATTTATAGCATTTGAATGACCACACTCCACTGTGGGGTATACTGGGGGGCGACTTCCCCACGGAGGCAGGTGACTGGCCACTCAGGGGGCAGAGCACGTGGCAGAAGCTCCAGGGCAGTGGACCCAAAAGGCGGCGTCGATTTCTCATTCACTGAACTTCTCTTTTCTCTCTAGCTTTCTTGCCTTCCAGATGCAAGGTTGTATTTTTTTTTTTTAATTACTTCAAATTGCTTAACATGATCCATTAACTACTCCACCAGGCTCCCAACAGTTTTATAACCTGCTTCTTAAAAGAAAGCAGCAAAGAGCAATCTGTCCACTGCTGAGTTATAGCCCACTGCCAACACAGCTTCCCATGATTTATGAAGTTAAAGAAACCCAAACACTGACCAGGGGACTTAAAGGAGAGTTGCATTCCCTTCTCAGAGGATTTCCCGGCTAACAGATTGCTGAATTTTTGCATACATAGCTATTTGTTTTGATAGCTTCTGCATGTACAAGATCAAACAGTCATTCCATTAATTTTGAAATTTTTCCATGTCCCAATCCATGATGCGTTCAGTTGCCAGATGAATCTTTGTGAAATACCCCAAGGTCTTCCCCAGTCTGACTCCTGATCATCACATAACCCCCTGGTCCCCACTTATATCCATGTGTCTGGGCCTCCTCACTGCTGTTACCTGTGTCACGCTTATTCTCACCTGTAAGGTTTTACCCATGATCTCAACTCTTCTCTGACAGTCTACCCCGATGCCCTGCTATATAATTCAAAGTGTAATATTCATCACATATTTACATGGCCTCTCATGCTTTTCAAAGTGCTTTATGTTAATTATGTCACCAGAGTCTCTCAATAATTCTCTATCACAGGTAGTTATGGTATTAAGCCTTTATCTAATATTATCCTATTCACCTTGACTCTGTCCATATTTCTTTAAGACATATAATCAGTATCATTCACTGTAACATACAATTATGTTCTGCGGTGCTTTGTTTTGTTTTGTCCTTTCAGTCTACAGCACCTGGAAACTTCAGGCTTTAGAGCTTATATATGGGGACAGAATTTCAATATAGTAACATCACAAGGAAGCTTATCTATTCCAATCTAAACTACAAAACACATCCTTAAGTAATCAGGCCTGTAAGTCTTATTTTAGATATCTGATTATAATTAATTGTTCCTCAATTAGCTAAAAGGTATAAAATTTAGTCTTGACATTATCCAGAGACCACGTCTAAGTTTTAAAAGTTTGCTCTAGTCTTGAAAGACAGGGATAGATTTAGTATGAAGGTCTTATTTTTAAGTTAAGTAAGTAGAAGGACTCAAGAGTACATCCTAAGAAATTACACACAGTACAGAATACCAGTAGGAATTTTCTACTTGGTTACCTGACAAATCCGAATCGCTGACCGTGCTCGTTCCCAGCCTGTTTCCACACTAACTCTACCCGGTGGCCAGGCCTGACTAGAAACCCAGACACCCAGTGGGCGGGCTCTAATGACTTCTCCATGTTCGTGTTCCATGTTGGTGCCTGCAGGTGTTAAATGACTAATCCAGATCCCCAGCACATATGAAGGTAGGTGACAGAAGATTACCAAATTCCTCACTGTTTTGATTTTATTTTTTTAAGCCTTCATTGAATTTGTTACAATATTGCTTCTGTTTTATGTTTTGGTCTTCTGGCTGCAAGGCACGTGGGATCTTAGCTCCCGGACCAGGGATCGAACCTGCACCCCCTGCATTGGAAGGCAAAGTCTCAACCACAGGACCGCCAGGGAAGTCCCTCCTCACTGTTTTTAAGTTTAATTTCTTGCAAAGTTCTGAAACGGATTCATGTCCCCTCCTGACCTGGCAGAATTAGCTTATTCATTCAACAAGTATTTCCTGAACACCTACTACGTGCAGGTCTTGTATTATGATCTGGCCAAGCGATGACAGGTAACATGGCAGCAGGTCTCATTCCCGTCTCTAAGCAGAATTTATCCTCACCAGCATGTAACTGTGTTACATCAGTACATCAAATATACAAGTTTTAGTTTATCCTTTACAAAAGCAGGGTGTTATAGCTACATACGCTAAAAACTGTGATTTGGGGGGCTTCCCTGGTGGTGCAGTGGTTGAGAGTCCGCCTGCCGATGCAGGGGACACGGGTTCGTGCCCCGGTCCGGGAGGATCCCACATGCCGCGGAGCAGCTGGGCCCGTGAGCCATGGCCACTGAGCCTGCGCGTCCGGAGCCTGTGCTCCGCAACGGAAGAGGCCACAGCAGTGAGAGGGGCCCGCGTACCGCAAAAAAAAAGAAACAAAAAACAAACAAACAAAAAAACCAAAAAAACCCTGTGATTTGGGCCTGCTTCCCTCCCTTCACCCCCCCACCAAAGTAGTTTGGAGGGACATTTAAGCTACTGGTTTTGCACTTAAAGGAAATAAGAAACAAAAGAATCCAAATATAGCTATGTGGCTAAAGTCTTTTCCAACTGTGGGTTGTAAACATATTTTTTAGGGAAATAGGCTTCACTTTAAGCTGCTAGTAAAGTGTGGCACAGGTCTGTCTGTTTTAGTATGAAGCTTTCTTTTAAGAGGAAGGGGTTGATTTTTTTAAAAAAGGGCTGTGGCAGGTCAACACTTCTTATAAACTCTGTGCCTCCTGCCTCATCCGGGACCTTCTGTAGAAACAAAATCCAGCGTGCCACTGTGCTTTCTACATGCCAAGACAAAGGTCTATGCTCTTTATTTAGAAAGGCTCACCACTTACACGTCTACTACTACAGTTATTACAGCTACTAGCAATGTCGGAAACTCCAGACAAGGTGCTGGGGAAACTGGGAGGGGAGGAAAGCCATCCAAGGGCCGGGAGGCCTTGGGACCCAGACCGGTTGTCTTCCAAAGCTGGTGGCCACCACTCAGCTCCTACTGGATGCCGGGTGAAGGCAAGCCTGGGGGAAGAGCGTTCATACCAGGGACACTCGGGTTTCCTTTTAAACCCGAGCTTGCAGGGCTCAGGCTGGAGCCTGATCCATGTGACCGAGCACTGAGGCTGTTAATCATTTCCTTTGCTGCCCGAGTGGAGGCGAGCAATTACCGCCCGGGCCTTCTTTCCACAACCAAAGCCCTGCCTTGTGTCTGGGGCACATTACCAAATGAACTTTGATCGACACGAAGTCTAGTCCTTACGTTATGAGAAAAAGTGCTGTAAATGGGTGGTGAGAAAGCATCACGCTCTCGGGAACTTTCCCGAGTAACCCGACGAGTTTTCTTTTCTAATTACTCTTGCCCTCAACAGTCTGGTGGGTGACATCTGAGCGAGCACAGCACAGTCTGTCCTTGACACCGTTTGACAGCACAAAGAAATCTGGCACTCTGTGATGAATTATTAATGTGCACAAATATTGTAGCACGTATGAAATGGGGACCAGCAAGAGGTGAAGTGCTAGTTGCCATGACACCAGTCAGTTCAAGCTCAGGTTCGTGATCTTTGTCTGAGACGCGTTAGAAGAACGAGCAAATCTGCGGCACACACCCAAATGGCTTGAGTGTAAATTCACGCACGTGCTGCCGACAGTGAATCCGAAAGGGGCAGCTCCGCCGGACACCGGGACCGTTGTGTTCTCTTACTGTAAGGACGAATTATCCAGATCGGGAGTTACCAGCTGGTAAAGGGATGGCTAAAGGAAGTACATTTGATCAGTCACCAGAGTTAGCTGGTCCCAACAGTGGGTGGCAAGGTTAGCTAGATGTTTAGTCTAAGTCAGAGAACCGCACTCGGAGCTCTGTCCTCTGATTCAAATGTCTGAGACACAGGGGAGGACATCTAGATCGTCACGAGGAAAATGTGGTTGACTCTTGACCTGGGGGTGGGGGAGTCTCAGAGTCAGCAACCAATTTGTATGTTCAGTGAGACAATTTAGAATTGGAAGGGACCCAGGGATTATTTTATCTGCAAAAGAGAAAACTCTTTCAGTAATGGATCCTGGCTAAAAAGTATGATGATAGACCTTTGATTACCTGTGATTAATTTTATCACAAGACCACATCCAATACCATAAGCTGCCAGGCTGACAGGGTTGCTAAGTGACTAAAAAGAAAAAAAAAGAAAGGAAGGAAGGAAGGGATGAAGGAAGAGGATATTCAGACAGACACTGACATTCCTACGAAACATGCTTCACAAGTTTAATATCTCCATAGCTCCTCGGGGTTCCTCTTCAAAGCACTGGGCACTTTGAAAGATAACTGTAAAGGTCATATTTATAATATAAACAAGAACTTCTTAAACAGAAGTGTGACTGGACACAGACATGACATGTCATATCTTGAGAAATCTTTGAATGTTAGGTTTACGCCAAATT